GTTTTTTTTCACTTCCAAAAACGGTATACTACCGTAAAATTTATGTAATTTATGTAATACATGTAATGTCCAATACAGTTTTTCACCGTATATAGTAGGGGAATTTACCGTTAACCATTTAACAGGTTTTTACTGTAGCATTTTTACAGTCTTTTACCGTTAAATTCACGGTCATTTTTTACAGTGTAAGTTAGATTGAGAAGTACAAATCTGTGGAGCAATTTATTTTTAACAATTGAACCTTTAAGACTTTAAGGTTACTAGTCAATGGTATGTGCTTCTCCTGAAGCCACCTTTACTTCAACATCATTAACAAAATGTATTTAATTGACAAATTCCACAAGAAGTACTACAATACCCATAATCCTTGAAAGATCTAAGGATTCTTTGTAGCAGCCTGTGCGTGTGTTGCTTCAACCAACCATACATATGTGTCGTTTTATTTTCTTTTTTTATATTCCATTCTTTCATTCATAATCATTTATAATTTAATCATTCAGTTTAATCGTTTAATAATTTAATCATTCAGTTTATAATTTTAATCATTCAATTTATTCAATTCAGTCATTTAATTTAATCGTTCAATTTACACTGAAAGATACACTGAGCACTGAAAGATACGCAACTAAGATTATACAATGAACTCTTTTTGTGAATTATTGTTTGTGTCACTGTTGCCTTTTCTTTGTATTGCCTTTTAATGCATGTGCTGTAAGGTGTACATTATTTACATTGTTTGTGGGACTTTAAATAAACTGGGATCAAAGGAGTAAATGATGTGTGTGTGTGTGTGTGTGAGAGAGAGAGAGAATAGTAAAAGAGACCTAAACACACTTTCAAACTGAAAAGATGATTGGAAAAGCTTTAAGACGTAATGTTCTTAACACAGGACCCACACAGTTAATGTAGGCCTAATATGTGGTAAAAAAAAAAAAGCTCCTGATCATATTTATTCATCTGTGTGTGTTTTTTTTATCTTAAAAATGGCAATTTTATGTCTAGAATTAAATGTTGAAGTGACTATTGGGGTCAAAATTGGTACAGAAAGCCTTAGTGGCATATTGTTGCTGTTATTATTTAATTTAGTTAATGTAGCCATTTCATTCATTAATTGGTACTGGAAAACTGTAGAATAATTCAATCTGAATTCATAGTTTATTTGTTTATGACACCACTTAATTGAATATAAGCCTGTATATGAATTCTAGATGAGTTCAGCTGGTTCAGTTTTTAGTTATAAGATGTTTTATCAGGCGTCATTTGTATTTCCAATGCATCTATAGCGTTTCTGTGTACAGTTAAAACAGTGCAAAGAAATGAAACAAAATAAGGAAACTGTAATTAATCAAGGAATATGAAATGAATGGCAATAAAGCAGGGATCTCCAACACTGTTCGTGTAGATCTACACACACCTGCTTCTAATTATCAAGTAACACCTTGATTAGCTGTTAAAGGTGTGTTTGATTTAGATTGAAGCTTCAGGACAGTAGACCAAAAAAATAAATAAAATCACCATGCTGTTGGAGAAAAAGAGGTACCATGTGAAACAGCCGTCTCTACCACCTTAAAAGAAGTACATTGTGCATATATAACCAAATTTTAACCGAGCCTATTTATTTGGACAATCTAATCCTTGTGTTTTGAAATGGCTACCCAATGCAACTGACACTGACTTCACTGCATCTGTATCAGAAAACACATCTGAAGAAGTTTTGTCACAGATTAAATATTTAAAATGTTAAATCTTACATCATTTAATCAGTATGTTTTACATGGTAGCAGAACAAATGCAACTGAAGTCATAAAAACACATTTCAAACTCACCAACCAGACACCACACACTGAACAAAACTAATTTCTGAATCATTTTCTTCATCAGTTCACTTAAATCCCATGATAGTATAATGTCTGAAACACATCTGAACTGATGCTTTGTGTGTTTGTGGTCTTTCTTTAACACGTCTGAACCTCTGTCACAGTTTATTCTCACACGACCATTTCCTTTAACACAGGAAGTCATGAAAATGAGCAATCGCTTTATATTTTCAAATTAATTCTGGTCTGAAAGCTAATAGCAGAATAGTGAGCGTTAAAGTCATGAATTTTAATTTAGATATTTGTATATAGTGTTGTGAAGATGATCAGCTGTCAATCTGTGTAGTGTATTAATGATGCAGGAGAATAACGTGTTTGACTTTTGACTCTTAATTGACTGTTGGATTCATTTTATTTAACTGTAAATATACTACAATTGCGCCCCTGTCAGCAACAGGACACTTTCATATTAATGCTTTGTATGGCAAATGCTTTGCCATAATTTGGGTTTCGTATAGCTCAGTTGGTAGGGCATTGTGTTATATGACAACGTGCAATCATGTGATCATGCGTTCAATCCCAAGGAACGCACGTTCTCATAAAATGTATATGGGTAGTTGATGTATCAATGTGTTCTATGGTGTGACGAAAAAAAAAAAAAAAAAAACCTCTAAAATTGAACAAAGAGAAAGTGACTCACTCAGCCTGCCAGCTGCTCTCAACAGCCCATTTTGATTCGCACTCTGAACTAAAAGCCATGCTACTATTTGTAACTCTAAGAATGAAGATACTTTTTTCTCATGTTATTTGTATGTTAAGTTTTTTTTCTACATTTTTCTATGTCACACCATAGGACACAGTCCAATTTTTATTTGTTGACTACCCATATGCACAGTATATCTCGATTTTGCATGATTTCTGTGAGGGTAGGTTTAGGGGCGGGGTTAGGTGTGGTCATTCATACGAATTCGTATGAATTAGCCACCTATAGCAAATTGCTGTGAGATTGGGTTGGACCCAAGCGGCAGCCTTCCGGTCTCTCTCGTGAAACCAACACGGAAGTGACTAAAACTGCAATTCATCGACTGGCCGCTAAAGGCTGGCTCCAAAAGGGAGTCAGTCCCATAGACTCCCCATGTTCCCAAATTTAAAAATATGTTTATAGCCTGGTACAAAAAGTGCTTTTGGTCTATATAGCTAATTTTGACCTTTTTGACCTTCGTGAGGGGGGTGATTTTTTTTTT